AGATGGTTGCCTTTAAAATGGAAAATGCTACCCCCACAATTGTCGTACAATTTCTTTTCATAGGATAGAGTATTATTATCCATTCCCTTAAATAGTTTTACAAATAAATGTTTTTTTTTTTAAAAAATAAAATGGTAAGGATAGGATTCGAACGCTAAACCCAACAGAAAAATGGGGATTGTACCTTTTAAGATGATCCGAATGTCACTTGGTCGAAGGGTCAGGTGCACAAATAAATGTATTTTGATCCAATTATTAAAATAAAAATTTATTAAAATTTTATATAAATGTAATGTAAAAAATTTTATGCAAATAAATTTTTACTTTTAATTAAATGGTTTAAGTTATATTAATGAAAAAAATTATGATATCATAATATCTAAATATTTAAATATTTTAAATATCAAGATATCTTATTTTTTTATATTAATTTATGTGGCTCATTAATTAGAAAAAGACAATAACAAATAAATTTAAAAGAAAAGACATGTAATGTTATCTAAAATGTGAGACTTCAAAGTGATAAAAAGGATTTTACTTCTAAATAGGCTTGGTAAATCGGTAAGATACGATAGATTTAAATAAATTACTTTAGATTTTAAATTTATTGAATTGAATCAATTTAAATTTTAAGTTAAAAGTAGACTCATGACTCAAATTTGGTTGGGAGATCCAACTTTTTAAAATGTTAAAATTAAAATTAAAAAATTTCAATATTTTCCCTTTAAAAAAATTACTATTAATTAAGAGTAATTATTTACTCAAAAATATCTATTAAATTAATATTAACTCTAATAATCTAATAAATAATAATTATTTTATTATATTTAATTTAATTTTATACTTAAAAATTAAAATTAAAAGCATAATTAATTAAATTTTTAATTTAAAAAATTAATTGATTTTAATCAAATAACTTTTGGTTGACTCGATTCGATTATGACTCAACTTAATTAAATTCAAATAATTTTAATCTAAATACATTAAATTTTAAATTAATATCTTAAACTCAAGATTTTACGTATGACAAATACATTAAGTTAAATCTTTACATCGAGTGTAATTTTGTCAATCTGCTTTCACGGCATATTTGATTTAGAAAATTGTTTTACAAAATATATTATATGTAATTTATCTTATAAAATTATTTAAATACTTTTAATTTTAGTTTTATATTATTTTATAAAAAATATCTAAATAATTTTACATGATAAATTAAATACAATATATTTTGTAAAATAGTTTTCTGTGTCCGGTTTATCTAAAATTTGGAAAGTAATTTTGGCCACCTTTCTTTTGAGGAAAGGTGTTAGGATTTT